GAGAGAGAGAGAGAGCAAACTGTACATTTGCGTATGTCTAAAATTCAAAGTATCCATGAAAAGAAAAGGAAGGAAGGAGAAACATGGTCCAGAAATTATACATACACGGCCCTTTCAAGATGCTTTCCTGCTTTCCAATAAGCATATGCCATGGTGAACTGATACATATCACTAAGAAGAGAAGAAACCACGGGATTGGTTGGGCCATCAATTACAGGCCTCTGTTCCATCTCTCCATTAATCTCCATCGCCACCTAAATGGGTTTCTATCAAACTTCTGAGCGCACACAATTTAATGAACTGCAGGGCTCTAAATCTACTGCATTATAAGGTCAGATGATCGGAAGAGAGAGAGAGAGGATTCAAGGCCTGTAGAGAGAGAGGTGAAAAACTAGAGATGTTCGGCAGCTCTGGGTTTTCTCTGGTTCGGTTTTGGACGTTTGGGCCTTGATGGAGGCGTATTCCATGCTCCCGCGAGAGCATACTGTGAATTACTCTTGCGTACAAAAGGCCAAACATGAAATGATAAAAAAAGGAAAAGGTTCGTATTAGGTATTAATCTTTTACTATTATTAGAAGACCTCAAAACTCCTCTAAAATAGAGAGTTCCAATTTTGGAAAATGCTGTGATTGATAATCTTGAATTTTAGATGTGTGGATATAAAGAGAAATTGTTTTTCGAGCCTTGCAATAGTGCGTATTATATTGTAGATTTTCAAGCTATTTTAAGGTTTATGATATCGAAACTATATTTTTTAATAAAATATAAATATACGCATTACTTCTACAGTATAGGGATGACAGCTTATATAAACCTCACCCTATAAAAAATATTCAACATATACTCTACTAACGTTTCACCACCCTTTTATGAAAAATTAAAATACCTAGTAGAATATCAACTATTTTAAGTGTATTTTAATAATTGACCTAAACTTAAATAGTTAATATTTTAATTATGACTTGATAAACTTCCCATTTTTAAATGCAAAACGTCGGGGTCCAATGAAAGAATCACAAATGAGTAGTCCAAAAAAAGAGTAAAAAATGATTTTGAATTCTTAAGTGCATAGTCTATGAATCCAAATTTTGGATGGTCTCTATATGAGAGATTGGTTTTCAATCCTTATAGGGTGCATATAAATTTTTCTCCTTTTTAAAAGGAAGGGAAATTACGTATATATTTTATGTTATTACTAAAATACCAAATATTTTCCATTATTACTGTAATGTCTGTTTTTTTCACTTTATAACTAATTTTTAAAAAGATGTTTTTACCCTTTTTCAGTTGTTTAACAACCGAAATAGCTAAAATTTTGGTTGTTCAACAACAAAAAATGACCCCGATAGTTTTACGATTCATCTTCTCTACTCTCTACGCCTATGCTATGTGAATGCTTAAAAAAGAGAGTTTTACCCATTTTTGGTTGTTCAACAACCGAAATTAGGACTATGTTTTCCAGAAGCGTGTTGGAATACACAGTCTTAATTTCCGTTGTTCAACAACCGAAATTAAGACATTTTCGGTTGTTCAACATCCGAAAATGTCTTGTTTTCGATTCTTGAGCAACCAAAATGACAATTCAAAATTTTAACCTCATGTCTAATTTCGGTTGTTCAAGAACTGAAAACAAGACATTTTCTAATGTTGAACAAACGAAAATATCCTATTTTCAATTGTTCAACAACCAAAATTAGGGCTGTGTTTTTTAGAAGCTTGTTGGAATAGGCATTCCTAATTTCGGTTGTTCAACATCCGAAATTAAGACATTTTCGGTTGTTCAACATCCGAAAATGTCTTGTTTTCGCTTTTTGAATAACATAAAAGGACAATTCAAAATTTTAACCTCATGTCTATTTCCTGTTGTTCAAGAACTGAAAACAATACATTTTTGAATGTTGAACAACCGAAAATGTCTTATTTTCGGTTGTTCATTAATCGAAAATAGGACTGTGTTTTCCAAAAGTCTGCTGGAATTCGCAGTCCTAATTTTGGTTGTTTGACATCCGAAATTAAGACCATTTCGGTTGTTCAAAAACTAAAAATGGGTAAAACTATCTTTTTTATACATAGAGAGTGGAGAAGATGAACCGTAAAACTATCAGGGTCATTTTCGGTTGTTGAACAACCGAAATTCCAGCTATTTCAGTTGTTGAACAACAGAAAAATGGTAAAAACGTCTTTTTTAAAAAAATTCGTTATAAAGTGAAAGAAACAAACATTCCAGTAATAACGGAAAGTATTTTGTGTTTTGGTAATAACAAATATATATGTAATTTTCCCAAAGGAAATATATATGATGAGATCATTTATTTTTGAAACAAAGAGGTCACAATCATCATGGGCCGTTAGATTTGAAATTAGGTAATTGAGGTTGTGTCATTCTTTGGACAAAAAGTCTAAATTAAAATATCTTGAATGTTATTTCATCTATTGGATTTCATATTCAATTACTAAAAGTGATTGTGACTTCTTTGTACTAAAGTAAATGATCTCATAGTATACAATTCCCTTTTAAAATTGGTCTTTTGAGGAGTTCATATTGAATGCTGTCAAATTCGCTTCAGAGACTTATTCGATTTAACTGGGGAAGGGAAGCACTTCAATACTTTGATTGATTTGGGGAAAGATTTAGGATGGTTTTCTTCAATATTACAATAAAAATAAAATAAAATAAAATTTAAAAATAAAAAGTAGAGAAAAATAATGCTCCAATTTGTTGACGAATAGTTGAATACAATGTATACATATGGAGAGACGATGAACTAAATATTAAAAAGTGCACAACCTAAAAAAAATTTAATGTGTCTAAGGCGGGCAACATGCGGGGCTTACCTTCGCCCTAGCCTGGCCTGGCCCTGACTAGGCCAAAGTAGCCATGGCCCATGCCTGAACCGTGCCTGTTCTTTTGAGAACCTATTTTCATCTCTAATTATAAAATTTTAGACTCCAAACATGGTTCAAATCAAGTACATCTATAAATGAATGAAAATATAAAGAATGGATGGTCCAGATAATATGTTGCAAGATGGAACTTTGTTTGGGTCTCAAAATCTTTTTTTTTTATATTCCTACATCTCAGTGTTGAGATTATCAAATAGGGTTTTTCAACTCCAAAACAGCCTTTTACGATATATTTTTTAAGTGCACCTTAAGTCTACATTTTAAATTTGCAACTTTATATAAACTTTTTCCTTATTTAAATTTCCCGATAAGCCCTGTAAAAATTGCAAAAACTTCCTTATTCAATTCAGCAGCATCACACTGGTGAAACAACCAAATTTGGCTGAAGAGGCCGAAGAAGAACGAATCAAGCTTAAGTAGTGGTGTTTTTCACTTCACTTAAGCACAAGTGAAAATCCCGAACCCTTCGGCCTCTTCAACTGAAGCAAAGCAAAGACAACAACGTGGATTACATTCCCAATTATGTATTCTCTCATAGTAGTAGTAGTCCTAGATAGGTTGTACCCATATTTTAAAACTTAATGATTCTCAATCTAGATCATCGATCGAAATGGGAATCAATCAGGATTGAAACGGTTCTGGGATGGTATGGGTCCCGGCCTGATTCCATCCTGAAACCGTCATTGTATATATTTTAAGTTTATCTAGTATGCTGTTGGGTCTCCTCTAAATCTCCAGCTCAAAAACTATTATTATTATTTATTATTTTTAATATTTTTTTAGATCACCAATCAATATCTGATTCAGATGAGCGATTCGACATAGATATGTAGGGAATGACACACCCCAACAATTGGAGTTTTAAACACTGTGTTTTACCGTGCTAGTGGTGAATTTCAAGTGCTCCAAGTAGCATGGAATCTTTTGGCTTAAAAAGAAAATGATGTGATCCCCAACTGCTTCATGCAATTAGTCAACATGTTTGAGAGAAAAGGAGAGGATGCTGGATACCCAAATATAGAAAGGAATCACTTTTGTCTCAACTTTCAAGCCCCATATTCTTGTACTTAGTTCCTGTCATAGAATAGCCAACGTGAAATGGAAAGGCCACACTTCGCTTCATGGACAAACTAATACGACGCCACGTTACTGTTATTGTCAATATAATCTCTTATATATAAAAAAATTTAATTCATTGGCATTTTATTAGAGATTATAACCCACAAAATATCAGATAATCTTTTTATATATGCGATACATTTATCTTTTAAGTTTGGATATCATCATCATCATCACCAGAGCCTTTTTTCAAACTATTTGAGGTAAGTCATAATAAGGAAATCATCATCACCAAAACCTTTTCCAAACTATTTGGGATCGACCAGATATGGTAATAAAGAAAATAATGTAAATATTTGTTTATTTTGGTGGTAATAAAAAAATATCCTGCATATTCTAAATTTATATGTGTTTTCTGGTTTTTATTTCCTCTAAAATGCCTTTGGTTTGAAACTTCAAGTTTTCAACTATTTTTTTTTTTGCTTAAATTTTTAATGAACTTCAAATTCTAAACGGAATTTTTGTTCAAATTTTGGAATAGAGCACTTATTATACCACCAAAATAATAAGTATTGTAGTTAGTTCAAAAGAGTCAAAGTTCCATACCGAATTATTGTAAAAAAAAAAAATCTGGTTTAGAACTTTACATTCCGAACTAATTTTTTATCAAAAATTTTTGTTCAGAACTTGATGTTCCGAATTGAAACGTAAGCCAAAAAATTAAGGGCAAGCTTTCTATGCTTCCTCTACATCATAAAACTTATATACTTCACCTTATCCAATCGTCCATTCTGAATGGAGGGCTAAGATCGCCCCAATCACAATGTCACGTCTTTACACTATTTTATTTTTAATTTTTTTTCTATAAACTATTATTACACCAAATTTTGTAGGTCCAATCCTCTATTAAATTTGCAATAACGAAAAATATAAAAAAATTATTTTCAATAAAATAAGATGACCAAAATACCTCTGAAAATTTAAAGGGTATTTAGGTATTATATTTTATCAAAAAATTATTTTTCATATTTTTTATAGGTGCGCCCTAA